CAAGCCCAACCCCTCCGCGGGGCACGGAGGGGGCGGGAGGGGTTCAGACGAGGGCGGCGAAGCAGAGGGAGGCGACGAAGTGAGCTTGTGAGGATGCCAAGGGGGAGGGCAACGATATCACGCCGATACCCCGATGGGGAATGGGGGGGGGGGGGGAGCACGGGGACGAAGAGAGACATATACGGGGCGACCGACGCGGGGAGGAACATCGATACGACAACGGGGAGCTTGGAATGGGAGAGATGGATATCGAGAGAAGCGATCCATATGAAGCAGACATGAGAAGAGGATGAAGACTGAGGTTAGGGCGCGGCGCTTTGTTCCACAGGGGGTCCTCGATGAGCGGCCCAGCGATGAAGTCGGCCCACTGGAGCGACATGGCGCAGCAGCCGCGGCGGCGAAGCCCGCTGAGGTGAGGAAGGGGGGGCTGCGTCGAGGGTGAGGAAGGGCGAGCGAGGCGGCGGCCTCGAGGGCGACGCAGCGGCGAACGCCGCGGGAAGAGGCGACGACGAGCGCCTGCAAGAGGCGCCACGGCGCGACGCGGCACGCCTTGAAGCCAAAAACAGATGCACCAAGCCGCCGTCGCCGGCGCAGCTTTCGGGAAGGGTTGCGAAGAGAGGGGAGGGCCGATTCTGGAAGAGCGAGGCGATAATATTGGAGTTCTGATGACACCCAATCGAGCAACAATGAATGAGTGAGAGACCGATCGATCGAGCGTAGAGGGAGGAGGGGGCTAGAAAGAGCGAGGCAGCACAGAGAGCCAAGCAACTCGCTCCTGCATCCCACGGCTTCGCGAGCGCGTGCACCTGGCCCGAGACGGCGCCCTTGACGCGGTCGACCTCGCGCGCGGAAAAGGCCGCCAAGAAGGTGGGTTGGGGGGGCATTCCATTATCCTCCTCGGTCCCCTTACCCGTCTCCTCCTCATCGCTTTCCTCATCCACCCTCCTGCCCTCATTCACTATATTCATTCTACCCCCTTCGTCCTCCTCTCCTCATTCGCCACCTCATCATCCTCTTCGACGTCGCCATCATCGCTCCACCACCACCCTCCCCGCGCATCCCTCATCCATTCCTCGTCCTCCGTCAACCCACCCCGTTCCGACCGCCGCCCCATCTCTCCCGCTCGTACTCCTCCCCTCGCCCCCCGCCTCATCATCCACTTCCTCCTCCTGGTCGCTCGATAGATGCCGACGCTTCACAATCAATGGAAATTAGATGGTGACCCTTCCTCCTCATCCGCATCCGCCCCATCCTTCCCCTAAACCTTATAATCAGTATCATCGGCGCCCACCCCTCCTCATCCACCTCCTGCGTCACCCCCCTCGCCCTCTCTGCCCACTGCGGCGCGGCCTTCTCGTCGTCGCTGGCGTCGGCAGCCTTCGATGCCAGCAACACCTCGAAGACCCAGTGCGGCTCGCGGAACACGAGCTTCTCGCCCTCGAAGCAGCTCCCGAAGAAGCCGGCACCGCGGTTGAGAAGCCCGCGGTCCCTGATGCACTTCAACAGGAACTTCGCGAAAATGTCCTTCTGCTGCATGTCGCCACTGATGGCGAAGTTCCACGGAAGGCCTCGCTTGCGCCGAGCGCGGCGACGCGACGAGCCGACGGCGGGATCACGAGGGGGGAGCAGGCAGGGGAGAAGAAGGGGTGGGGCGAGGAAGGGGAGGAGGAGGAGGAGGAGGAGGAGGAGGAGGAGGAGGGAGGGAGAAGGAGGAGGCGAAAGAAGATGGAGGAGGGTGGAGGAAAAGATGAGCGGGAAGAGGAGGATGTCATGGAAGAGGGCGGATGAGAGACGGAGCGACGGGGGCTGGCCCAGAGGAGGCGGCGGCGCGGGGCAGAGCAGGGGGGGGGCGCCAGATGGCAAAGTCGAAGACGAAGGGGGCGAAGGAGGGGGAGGTAATATCGAGCATGCGAAGGAGAAGGAGGGCGAAGGGGAGGGCGATATAAAGAGAAAGAGAAGCAGAAACGTATAACTATATAGATAGAGATCAGAAGCAGTGATATATATAGAGAGAGAGCAGGGGAGAGAAAGAGAGATGGATGTGCGACGACACATAGCATGCGCGAGGGGCTCATCGGGGGAGGGTGATGAGCGAGAACAACCTCATGAGAAAATGGTGAGAGAATGGACGGGGAGAATGAAGAGATCGGGGGGAATCGGCGGCCTCGGGCTTTTCGAATCGAGAGGGGGTCAAGGAGGGAAGCGCCACCGCCCCCCCAACCACCCCCCCAACGCGTTCCTCCACCGCCCACCTCCAGGATCGTGCCACATCTATCACCCATCGCCAATGCCGTCGCTTCCTGGCGCTGCTGCTAGATGATGCTGCTGCTGCTCCTCCTCCTCCAGGCCCCCCGTCCTCACGGTTATCCTCATCCCCATCCTTCCCCTCCCCCTCCTCCTCCTGCCCCCCCTCCCAACTCCACATTCTCGCCCCCCTCCCTCTCCCCCCCATCGCAGCGCGAAGAAAGACAGATAGAAGCGCTGACCGGTCAAGTGCGTCGCGATCGCCTTCTGGTTGGCAACGCTGGCGCACGCGCGCTCGGCCGTGCCCGCTGGAAACTTGCGGGTGCTGGCCTTCTCGTAGACGGCCATCATCCACGCAGCCTCGACGTCGGACAAGTGCTCGACCGCGCGGTCGAACTTCTTGTCCTCCGTCATCTGCTGGGCAACGGCGGAGCTCGCCCGCGACTTCTTCCTGCCGACGCCGCTGATCTCCTCGACGCCCTTGGCAACCATGACCTCCACGGAGTCGATCTTGTCGTTGTGCTGATGGCAATTTATATATATATATAACCAAAAAACGATGCGAAAAGCGCGCGACATGAGACGAGACGCGAACCCGCGATGCAACACTCGACAGACGAAAGTAAGAGACACAACGGACAAAACTTTCAAACTCCACGCAACTACTCCTCACCGTGAACGCCTCGACTCCGATCGCCCTGACCGCCATCGTTGCCGCCATCACCTTCCTCATCGCGTGCATCGCCATCGCTGTCGCCATCGTCGAATTTACTCTCACCGTCGCGGGCGGAGGAGGAGGCGGAAGAAGAGGGGGAGGAGGAGGGGGCGAGGTGGAGGAGGACGTCCTCCTCGCGGGCGTCGCCGACATCGCCGACGAAGAGAGAAGGTGAGGAAGCGAAGTGGAGGAAAGCAATATGGCGGAGGAGGAGGAGAAGGAACTCGGAGGAGGGAGAACCACTTGACAAATGCAACAATCAAGCGGAACAACAGAAAGAAAAAACAACATCCTTCAGCAACTCATCGACGATCCCCTTGACCTTCTGAAGGCGCTTCACGAGGATCTCGTGCTGCGGGCCGTCGCCCTTGGGATCCTGGCGGCACGCGTGATGTAAAAGAACCATGCTCCCCACCATCACCCCTGCCTCCCCCCCTCCTTCTACCCCAGACACCTCATATGGCACCGATTCCCTCCACATGCACATCCAACCGCCCATCCACTAGCGGCGGCTCCTTGCCCACCAGCATGGCCGCGAGGGCCCGATGGGCGGGCGTCACCGCCGCCGCGGCGGCCTTGGGCGCCATCGCCCCAGGCCGAGGCGAGCGCGAGGAGGCCGGGCCCGAGCCTCCTCGGAGGCCCCGCTGAAGCCAAAGGGGCTGCAGGACGACACGAAGCGTCGCAGCAACGCAGCGCAACGCCAAACGCAACGCAACGCAAGGCAACGCAACGCAAGGCAACGCACCGCAAAGCAACGCCGATGCAACGCACCGCAAAGGCAACGCAAAGGCAACGCAACGGCAACGCAAAGGCAACGCAACGCAACGCAACGCAAAGGCAACGCAAGGCAACGCAACGCAATGCAACGCCCAACGCAACGCAACGCAACGCCCAAGGCAACGCAACTCAACGCAACGCAAAGCCCAACCCACAGAGCACCTAGCGGCGGCGCCCACAGCTCTGGGCACGCATGGGCGACAGTCGGGGCCCCAGGTGCTGTCATCGGGGGGGGGGGGGGGGGGGGGGGGCTGATATCCTGTAGTTAGCATGGTCTACTCATTCCGAGTCCTCGTTTTTGTCGATCAGCGAATCGAAGTGCTCGACGAACGGGTGGCTCGCAATCGCATAGAGACATCCGATGGCTGGGCACCCTTGTACGATGCCCGACAGTATTGTGCACATGTAACGGCATTCGCTCCCGATCCTCCCGTGGCAGAGCACGAACTGGTAGGAAGATCCAAAACTGGGCGATCGATGGGAACGCTTGTCCGTAGTCGAACGAGACCAGAGCGGGTAATCTGTCACTCGCGTCTGGCAGCATCGAAGTGATCCGAGCTTGTGTATCCAGTTCGATGATGTTCATCCCGAAATTCCGCGCGGGGACGAAGCCCCTCTGGGCCTTTGCGATGAAGTCGGGCAGGGAACGACTCAGAGGTTTCACGCAGACCGCCGTCAGGATCTTACAATCGGTGCGTTTCAAACCGAGTGGCCGGGTGGCCGCAGCATCTCGGATCACTGAATCCTCGTCGCCAGGCTCGTCGCCCTTGGCCAGGAACGCTCCCAGCATCGCATTGCAGCCAAAGAGAAGAGGCTTGCCATCCAAGGCCCAGGAGAGCGCGTCATACAAAACCTGGGATCCTTTGGGGTGGACGCGCCAGGCAAAGTAAGGAAGTTGATCAGGTCCTGGAGCGCTCGGGGTAACATTTTCCAGGAAACGGGTAGTGTCACGTTCGGTTGGAGGTGGCAAACCTGACAGGTCAACCGCTGGCTTAAACCGATTGATGCACTAGAAGGCGGCGGCACGGTCTACATCTTTCTCGGAGAAAACCTGGCCCCAATAGTCGGAGAGGCTAGAGAGCATCCCAACAGGATCTGCACGAACTCTATTGTGGGGGCCAGCACATTCTTGATCATGAGGAGGGCAGGGGTCTCTGATCCCTTGCAAGGGCAATTTCCGACCAAACGGGGCCCACAAACGGGAACGGGTAATGGGGCTGCAGGGGCGCTTCTTGAGCTTGGTCCGAATGGCCCCTGGGTTATCCCGGAGTCTCTGCCTTGTCTCCGACTGGGCTCTAGAGGGCGTGGCGGCGTGGATCTCAGCGGCCAACGCCGCGAAGATGGCAGGGTCATTGATCGAGACTTGCGCGGTCAGCGGATCGACGACCAGAAACTGCGCGCCTAACGGGTGAGACGCCATATTCTTCTGGGCCAGCAGCGCGTTCTGCCCCCATACAGCTCGAGCGATGGTGCGAATGGCGATGTATCTCGAGAGGGGGTCGTGATGTCGAAATCGGAGAAGTCGATCGCGAGTGTGCCGAGCCGCTTCGATCATGGTTTCCTTGTGGAAGGCGAGGCGGAAGGGGGGGGGGAACTCGGAGTCGTCGACCTGGCCGAGAACGTCCTGGATGAATTTATGGTACTCATGTCTCCGAAAGATGTCCTGGTGGATGGGTTGCTCTCCTGGCGGCTTCGGCGATCGAGCGGAAAAGGTGGCGGAGACAGCACCATGATCAGAGATGCGTGCGCGGCTGGGCACCTCTGGGTAGCCGTGCGCCCTGCCGCTCGCGCACCACTGAGTAAGGCTCCACCCTGGCGCAGACGCATAAATCCTATCCAATTTCCGCAGTGCCCCCTGCGCGGCGCAGTGATGAGTAGGTTCCTGAAGCTGAACCTCCGTCATGTGCCCCAAGATAAGGTTCCAAGCCAGACCGTCGGAACCCAAACGTCCGCTCCCAGATCCACTCTGCGAAGGGCTCGCAGATGGCTCCAAAGGAACCGAGAAGCCAGGGGGATGCAAGTTTTCGAAGCTATCGAGCGCCACGGGGGGGTCCTCTGAGAAGTTGAAGTCCCCGCCTACGATGACGAAGATTTTGAGGGGGTCCGCGGAGGCCAGGGGGAGGTCGGAGGTGATAGCATCTAGGATCTCGGTGCGCTGCTGAGACGACAGTCCGTGGTTATGAATGCTGAAGTGCGAGATGAGAACCCCGCTCGGAAACAAAATTCGAACATTCAACGCACGCCCCTGGGTCAAAACATGTTCCGAGATAGAAGGCCTGTCGTCTGCAGCATGCGTGATATCAAAATCGGGGACGAAGGTGATCACCCCTCCCGCGTCATGCGGCGAGGCCGGCAGGAACGAGTAGAAGGCCTGAGTAGGGAAGTGGATGTGGTAGAGCAGGTCCCTGAGCTCGTCCAGGGTCCCGTGAGATTCCTGGATCCCGAGAATCCAACCTTTGCCCAGAAGTTTCTTCATGTAGTTGATCTTCCTGGCCCGAACCCGGTATTTATGATGGAATAAAGCTTGCCCATTCCACGCCCCCACAGAGATGGGAGTAGGAGAGGAAGAACGACCGCACCAAGCGGCAAGAATAGGGTGAACCACGCCACTGTGCGGGTTCTGCAGGCGGGGCCAACAGCTTGAATTTGGCGCGGATCTGGTCGGCGCTGAAGCCGAACTGGGCCAGGTTCGCGCGAACGAACTCGAGGGTCGGCTCGGAGCCCTGACCAGGCTGAGGAGTGGCGCGAACCAGCGGCTTCCACTGCGTGGAGATTTCGCCACGATCTCGGTTGCCATGGAAGTGGTGGGTTGGGTAGAGCTCGGAGAGCGTCGCCTTGAGCTTCTTCGTGAGAAGCTCCGTCTGTACCTGCTTCTGGGACTTGACCGTGGAGATGAACACCTCAGTTGCCGCACCCGTGGTGTCAGCCGTGGAGAATCGCTGCCATTGAGATGCCGATATGTTGAAACTGCCTGTGATTTGCCTAACACGCCTGGCGGCCAGCTGAGCGTTGCCATTGAGCCTGAGGAGGGAGCGGCGGCCAGCGGGATCACCGTCCAGCTGGACATCTGTCGGGGTGAGATTGTTCCTCTCGAGGATGGGCTGCACCACATCTTTGTCGAGGTTGGCTTTGGGCAGCATAGCCTTGGCCCGCAGGACCAGCACCGTTGGATCAGGATCCCTGTCAAAGCTGGAGTCTTCCACGCGGACAGGGGGAGATTCAGATTGCATGAGGCCCAAGATCTGCTCGAGCCGCTCGATCTTGTCGGACAGCCGCTGGACGGTGGAGCCGGTCTGCTGCTGATGTCGCTCGACGTCGGCGAGGCGCCGTTCGACTTGCTTGCTGAGGTCTGTACAGGACTTGTGGACCTGCTTGGCGATGTCCCCCATGGATGCTTGGAGTTTGCCCAGGGAGTCCATGATCGAGTCGCGGGTGTGGTCCACGTAGTTGCGTAGATCGTCGCCAAGTGGTGCTCGCTTGTCTTCATCGTGTGGGGAGCGGCTGCGCTCATCAGCAAGAGGAGGTTCACGCCGACGAACAGGAGTGCCAGAGCCACCCAATCCATCCTCGGGACCACGTGCCACTGCACCGCGGCGCTCCTGCGACGGGAAGGTGGAGACAAATTCGCAAGCCGCCAACGCCTCGAGGTCGGACCGATTGGGGCGCGCCATCGTCGCCTGTCTACGCTGGTGGACGGCACCCAAACGATGGCAGGTCCGAGAGGTCGCGAAACCAGTGGCCTCCTGAAGGCCGAAATGGTTTCGAGAGAGGCCTACGGACGGGCCGCAAAGCTAATCGCTGGTTCTCGGGCGTCTATAGCGCTTCACAACATTTAGCCGTGAGCCAAAATGGCTACGGACCTCCTCCTCCTGTGGCTACCTCCTCCTCTCCTCCCCTCCTCCTCCTCCTCCTCCTCCTCCTCCTCCTCCTCCTCCTCCTCCTTCCTCCTCCTCCTCTACCTCCTCTTCCTCATCCCCTCTCCCCTCCTCCTCCTCCTCTCCTCCTCCTCCTCCTCCTCCTCCTCCTCCTCCTCCTCCTCCTCCTCCTGCTCTTCCCACACCATTCCCCCTCCACCTCCCCTCCTCCCCCTACTCCTCCCCCTCATGTTCCTCGTGTCCTCCCTACTCCTCCTCCTCCTCCTCCTCCTCCTCTCCTCCTCCTCCTCCTCCTCTCCTCCTCCTCCTCTCCTTTCCTCCTCCTCCTCCTCCTCCTCCTCCTCCCTCCTCCCTCCTCCCCCCCTCCTCCTCCTCCTCTCCTCCTCTCCCTCTACTCCTCCTCCTCCTCCTCTCCTCCTCCTCCTCCTCTCCTCCTCCTCCTCCTACTCCCTCCTCCTCCTCCTCCTCCTCCTCCCCTCCTCCTCCTCCTCCTCCTCCTCCTCATCCCCCTCCTCCTCCTCCTCTCCTCCTCCTCCTCCTCCTCCCTCCTCCTCCTTCTCCTCCGCCTCCTCATCCTCCTCCTCCTCCCCTCCTCCTCCTTCCCCCTTTCCTCCTCCTCCCTCCTCTCTCCTCCTCCTCCTCCATCCTCCTTCCTCATCCTCTCTTCAGCCTCCTCCCTCCTCCTCCTCCTCCTCTCCTCTCCTCCTCAATCCCAATCATCTTCCCAGGGACCCGGATCCCCCTAGAAGCTCCCAACGCAGAGACGCTAAACCTCCTAGCCTCCCTCCTCCTCCTCCTCCTCCTCCTCCTCCTCCTCCTCCTCCTCCTCCTCCCCCTGGTAATATAATCATCGTCTTCCCGCCTCCTGGGTTCCCATCCCACCTCCTGCAATCAACGCGGGGCCGCGGGGCTACTGAAGCCAGACTGCTACATCTGGGCAGGGCGAGTCCCCTTAGAGCACGCGCGTGCCAAAAGTGCGACTGAAGCTGGCGCTCACCTGCCAAGCAACTGCAGGTTGACCGAGGGGGGAAGGGCGGAGGAAACGAAACGGGAGACCACCTCGCGGTAGTTCACTAGGGAGGGGTATTAGGGGGTGGACAGGGAGGCACTGGCTGGTCTCCATAGTTTGCCGACGGAGGGAGGCAAGTAGTGGGCGGACGAGCGAGCGAAAGAGAGGGAGACAGAGAGCGAGATAATGTGTGTATGTGTGTAGTTGGGTGAAGGTGGTGGCGAGGTGGATGAGGGTCAGGAGATGCATGGTGGCGATAGTGAACACAATACTGATTAGCGTGCTGCTGATGGTGGGGATGATCATGAACGTGTAATGCGGCCACGTCGGTATCGATATTGTGGTGTACGCTCGGGTGTTTGTGACCCGCGGTACTGACGAAGAGGACAAAGGGTGTGAGTATGGTCGTGAAGGTGTTGATTGGCATGCTGATGCTGATGGTGATGGCTGGGGACAGCAAGTTGAGGTCGGAATGTCTGCGCATAACGAACATGGCGATTTTGAGGGCGCTGGTGATGAGGAAAAAAGATGCTGATGTTACGGGTGATGGCGATGATGAGTTCAGGATGATGATGGTGTTGATGGCGATATTGACGTTGATGGCGATGCTGATACTGATGTTGATGACGATGATGACGATTAGGAGGATGATGCTGCTGATGATGATGATGATTAATTCGATGATGCTGATGGTGACGATGATGACGACGATGATGAAGGGGATCAGGTACATGAGATGTCGGCAAACTATGGTGATGATGGTGTGTAACAGGGTGATTTTGTGTGTGTATGTTCGATCGTTCGTATTTCCTCACCTTCTCAGCCCAAGCCGCGCGCCAAGGCAAACAATGCAGGCGGCGGTGGGTGAGGGGGAAGTGTGTGGGTGGGGTACGGTCCGCTGTGCAGCCACCCACTGCCAATACACACACCCCGCACGCTGCTCTTGAAAGCACCCAACCGCCAGGACTGGCACCATCCACGCACTGGTGGGCCCAGCCTTTGCACAAACACACGCCACGCAAGACAACCACGGCGCTGCAAGCCCAGCGCTGCATGCAGCTCGTGCTGTGTGCGCGTTGCGTCGGCGAGGGTGGGTGTCCGTCGGTTCTGGGTGGCGTGGTGGGGCGCGCCTGCACGGCGCGACTCCGCACAATGCTCACAATCGCGTGTGGGAGCGCGGGTGGGTGAGAGAGCGCGGTTGAGCTACACGCGTGCGCGTGTGTAAAAGTGGAGGAGGGCAAGGGGGGCCACGAAGAGGACAGGAAGCAGGGGCAGAGAGGAGACGCGGAACGGGAACAGAACGAAGGAGGAACGGGGAAGGGGAAGGGAGGGAGGGGACGACGAGAACGACGAATCGGGGGCCGGGGCCAGCGCTCCTGGCACGAAGCCGGTGGCTCCCGATGCCACCTCGCCACACATCACAGCGCAGCACAGCGCAGCACGGCCGCGTGTGCGAGTGCGCGTGGCAACACGTCACAGCACAACGCAACACATCACGACACACCACAGCACGACACAGCACAGCACCACACATCACATCACATCACAGCAGCACATCACAGGACATCACAGCACACGCCACTTGGCGTGTGTGTGTATTTGTGTGTGTGCGTGTGAGTATGTGTGTGTGTGGGTGGGTGCGTGGGTGGGTGGGTGGGTGGGGGGGCGAGGAGCCCGACGATGAGAAGCATTAGTATGGAGAAGATGATGGGCGGGAGGAAAGAGGAGGATAATGCTGCTGGTGATGATGATGCTGTTGCTGCTGCTGGTGCTGATGATACGGATGATGAGCATAGTGATGATGAGGAGGGGGAGCACGAGGCAGAGCGGGTGGAAGAGGCAGTTGAGGACAGAAAGCACTACGAACAGGATGGGGATGAAGACACATTGCAGTGTGATTCTGATGAGCATGCTGTTGGTGTTGGCTTGTATGATGGAAGCTAAGAGGGGCATGTCAAGGATGGTATGCTGAGGAGTGTGACTCTCGCGGATAAGGAGGAGGAGCAGCAGTGGAAGAGTATGATGACTGGCGCCTATTCCAGACTGTGTGAAGGAAAGTTATTGAATATCCGAAAACGCCTGCTTCCCAGAACTAATTATCTGAGAGTGTACCCAGGTTTTCCGAGAAAACTTCAAACCAACGTAGCGTCCTTGCAGTAGGACGGGTGGACAACGGCAGCCTAGGTGAACGAGATGTTTAACCCGCATGCGAAATCCCACCAGCCCTCTTGGCGTCGGTGGTTTAGAGCGTTTCCTCTTCCACCCCTCCTTCTTCCCCTTCGGGGAGGGGTTTACCCCTCCCCCTACCCCCTCCCCACTGACCTGGACAGGGGGGGCCGCGGGTAGTTAGAGCGTCCAAGATGGCCCAACACGGCTCCAAGAGGGCCTCAGGGAGCTCAAGATGACCTCCAAGATGATGCCTCAATCTGGTCCCCATGATGTTCCAAGACGCTCCAAGAGCTTCCCAAAACGGTTCCAATTACTCACAAGAGCATCACTAGGATGCCTCCAAGAGGCCAAACTGCTTCAAAACCCTAGGGAAAATCAATGTTTGTGGTGTTCTCACTTTTTCGCTTGCGATGCACATCCGAGGCGTCAAAATGGCTCTAAGATGGCTCACGATAGCTCCAAAAGGGGCCCGAGAAAGCCCCAAGACGGCGCCAAGAACGGCAACGAACGCTCCAAGAACACCCCAAGAGGGGTTCAGGAGGCGATTTTAAAGGCTCTACAAGGGCGACGCTAAAAAATGCTTCCGCTTTCTTTGCCAGATCCCCTCCAACATGGCTCCACCAGCGCCTCTGAGGCCCCCAAGAGCGCTTCAAGAGCGCCCCAAACGACGCCCAAGAGGCCCCAAGAGGCTCACAAGGTCGTCAAAGATGGGCCCAGACGGCTCCCTGAGAGCCTCGGGAAGCCCAAGACACCTTTCAAGATGGCTGACGATTGCGCGACCTGCCTCAAGATGGCTCCGACGATGTTTCAAGACGTTCCAAGACTGCTCCAAAACGATTCCAACAGGCTGGCTCAAGATATCGCAACCTGCCTCAAGATGGTTCCGAAGATGTTCCAAGACGCTCCAAGACCGTCCCAGGACGATTCCAAGTGGCCATATGAGCTCTCCAAGATCCCATTCCTCCTCGCCTACCTATTATTCCTCCTCCGTCATCCCCCTCCCCCTCTTTCTCCTTGTTCCACATCTTCACAATATGTCCCATAATTCTCTTCTTCTGTTCCTTATCCACCCTCCCGCCCCCATTTCTCTTCCTCTTCCTTTTCCTTTCAATTCGTCTTCCTCCCCAGTATCCTCCTGCTGCTCGTTCTCCTCGTTCTCGCCGTTGTCTTCCTACTCGTCTTCGCCCTGCGTCATGCGAAAATCCCACCAGCCCTCTGGGCGTCGGTGGTTTAGGGCGTTTCCTCTTCCACCCCTCCCTCTTCCCCTTCGGGGAGGGGTTTACCCCTCCCCCTAACCCCCTCCCCACTGACCTGGACAGGAGGGGCGGGGAGCGGTCAGAGCGTCCAAAACAGCCTCGGCGAGGAA